GGGAATGTCAGTGTCACCTCCCTCTCTGTTTTGAGGCCAGAACTTCGACCCAACTGGAATAAAGAAAATAGCTGCCTCTGATACTGGTTTTGGGAAATGTTTGGGAGGGAGAAGAAACAATAAAAGTTTGGGCTGAGTTAAGAGATTAGAATGGAGCTCCCTGCAAAAATAGATTTGCATTGTGAACTGCAGAGCACGCAGCAGGCAGGAGTTCCCCTTCTTACTCCACAGTAGTTGCACTCAGGGTGATTCTCATTCCATATAGCTCAGCTTTTCCTTAAGGAGGCAGCATTTGCTGTTAGTCTAATACAAGCCGCTGTTTGGGCATATGTAATTGGAGAAGAGGAGGCGCTCTAGAAAGCGACGTGAGTTGTAGGAGATACCTGTGCAGGCTATTCAGTTAAGTCTTTTATGCAGTGAAGTTTCAAATTCCTCCTCACTTAGAAAAGGACACTTCAAATTATGACCAACAGCAGCTTGTCTAAACTTGCATGTTGTCTCCAAAAATATCTTCAGGAATGAAACAATACTATTCCTTGGAATTACAGCAGTCTGTCTTCCGCAGACCCAGGATTTTTCACCCTTTATGATGGGAAGACAAGCAAGTGGTTCTGAAATTACAGGTTACCAGTTCATGTTAGCTATATACTATAATTTTTGTGGTGTTATATATGCTCCTAGGACATGAGAAAAAAAATTCCTTAGGGCTCACAGTGCCTTTCTTATGCTATTGCCTGATATTTAAACAGTGAGAACAAATGTATTTTCTGGGTAAAATCAGAACAAAATTATATTTGTTGTAGTAGTTGAGGAGATGTCCTTTTGCAGAGTTGGAAATTTGTATTGAGCCAAACAGTGGTCACATTGCTAGTAAAATAAATGTTAAGTGAAGCATGAACAAGGTTAATTACTTTCATCTAGTAAATTAATTAATTCTACACTATTTTTCCTAAGGAAAATACTTACTGTAAATTATGTAATATTTGCATCTATATTTCACATTTAATTTCATGTAACCCTCTTTGTTAATGCATACAAATAAAAGGTAAAGGATATTTCCCCTCACATCACAAACACAAAAACACTGATTTATTGAGCTGAACTTGATTTTGGGAGCATATACCAGATTAATTTTGCTTTTTTCCCTGTACTATAAATCCATAGTAAAAGAAAAATGAAAAAACCTATAGTAGGCATCAGCTGAGGGGTTAATATGTTGCTCAAGTTCGATTTAATTGTGCTTCCATGCTCATGTTGTCTTCGCAGAAAGGCTTCGCTTCAAGCGAGTCTGGCTTTGAAAGCACAGAGCTTTTGTGCAGTTGTAGAGCAGCGCTCTCAGCCTCAGCGTTGGAAGATGGGCTCTATGGAGATGCGTAACACTGGGGGATGGAGACTTGATTTCTGTCTCTCTTATGTTCACTGCTATAGCGTAGGTCTATTCAGCTATTTTTCTGCATGTCCATTTTCTTGTTTTGCTGCTGCTTGCATGGTATTCTGTTCATACTAGCCTCAGTTTATTGTTATGTTAAAGGGTCAGTGTAGATTTGGGGGTTTTTATTTGTTTTTGATTTTCTTTTCTATAAAATAAGAAGGTAGTAAAAACATGTTCATTATATACAGATACAATGATTTACATTAACATTTTCAGAGTCATGGGCTTTCAGTATTCTGAAGCTCCTGCAGATGTAAGTAATTAGAATTCATGTTTATGCTTTATTTCAGATCCAGTGAGTTTATATGGCAATATACTTAAAATAACCCTCATTCTTCTAAAACCCCTGAAGCAAAGCTTTCAAGGGCCTCTTCCATTTTCTGGTATCACTGCAAGATGCCTCAAAATAGGGAGCATTATGTATTTTACAAGACTAGAAATAGTGTAGGTAATAGTGATACTTATTTAAATTAGGATGTTGTGCTTGTACTTCTTAAACTAAGCTTAAACTGTATCTATAGCACCATATCTAAAAATGGTATAGGGAAAACTCTGTTTTTGATTGAAGTTCCAGTATTTTTAAGTATTTAATTGTTTTTCTGTAACATATTATTCTGGAGTCTTGCATTATATATTGCATTTCTTAGTATAAGACATATATCTAAAATTGTGTTACTGTTTTATGCATACTATAGATGTGGAAAATTTATTTAAAATCTATTGGCATTTGTTAAAAGTAGTATTCTTAAATGCTTAGCTATGTAATGTTGGAATGCTTAACTTTTCATTGTTTTGATGTTTTGGCATGAGGTGCTTTTCAAGCGTCTTTAAGCTTATGTCTCTCTAAATGACCAATTCAGAAATACAGTTATTAGTCATATGACATTTTTTCTTTCTGAGGGTCTCCTGGAGCTCTATTATTTCAGCATTTGAGAGCACATGTGTGTCACCTCAATGCTGTATCAGAGACAGGGGCATCATTAATTGTCTCTTGAGATACTATGTAGGACACAGCGCTAGTGTATTAGTGCCTTGTGCCATCTTGAAAACATTGCAGGTGCTATTATGCCTCATAAAACACAGCTGCACAGAATTATCATGGTAATTTGAAGTCATCTTGTGCATTTATGGGAAAGCCTATTTAAAGACATGCTTGGGTTTATTATGCAGTTATGTTGTTCAGTGCACTGTGTGTCACTGGTTTGCTAACTGACCGTTGGACTGATGCATCTCATCTTTCTCCTGCCTACAAGGAAAACACTAAGCAAGGAGGGTATCAAAAATTAAATTTTGGAGACCAAATGTCTGAATAAGAAATAACTTCTTTTTGCAAACTTCTAGTGAAGTCTCTACTCTAGAGTTAAAGGCAATCAAACACAGTAGCACTCATCTCTTTTTGTTCTCTACTTCAAAGAAGCAACAACAAACTAGAAAAACATAAGCAGACACAACAGATGTCCTCTTCGCGCACAGCAGCGTGAATAATTCAATGATGCAGTGTTGCTCAATGTTGTCCCTATAGAACTGGTGCCTAAACGTGTCTCTTTCATGCTTTATCTGTTCTGTTACAAGACATTTCAGCTTCCAGTGTCTTTGATGAAAACAAAGTTTGCTGAAAGGTATAGGTTAAATGCACATAAAGATTAACAGCCATGGAAGGGGAAAAAGAAGTATTTTTTCCAGTTACAGATACGTGAGGCAAAAACATTCGTGTATAGCAAATAATACTACTGTTAGAAAGTTTGAGATTAACAGAACTGAACAGTTTCGTGTTCTGCAGTATTCTGGGATTACTAAACATATTTTATTAGAAATGTGATCCACCTGGCTGATTTAATAACCTAGTGAACCAGGCAGGTTTCTAGCCTGGTGAACTGAGACGGAGATTAGATGTATGTATGATGACAGAACTGCCCCCTTGCTTCTTGAAATGATGTGAATTATATTTTGGACCTCATAAAATAGGAAACAAACAAATATTTATTACTCACATTAGCAGTTATTTAGGTAAAAACCTTAAAGGTGTTTTTTACTGCTGAAATGGCATAAAATAATCTTGAAACTTCCTTTAAGGAAAGATGAGAGTTCTCTGGACGTAAGAAAATATTCAAGAATTCAGAATCTGTCATACAAAATAAGCGTATAAGGGGAAACTAGAGAGAGTGTGACCCTTCCAGCAATCTTTACCAACCAAATGAATTTTTATGAAAGTTTTTATATCATTCTGTAGTGTCTGCTGTTTATTCCATTTGGAGAAAGTAAAAAGGATTTACCTGTGATATTCTTTCCTCCGCAGCTCTGATAAGCCATGCTCAAAGCCTGTGAGGAAGTAATTTCAGTATAACACTTAAATTTGACTTCTTTTTTGTTTAAGTCATTTTAGCATGATGTTTAGGACTGTGGCTAGTCTTGAATCATTATATGTAATAATATAATAATTTTACTTCCCTTTCGCGCCTTACAAAATGACGACATTAGCAACCTTACTAAGGTCTTGACTATGCAATTAGCATAAGGAGTGGGAAAAAACATAATGTATTCATGAAATGTCTGTTGTATATTAACTCAGTATTACATTATTTCTAGAGCCTTGTCCAATTATAGCGTTACTCTCAAAGATCATCCCTGAGGACGAAAATCTAATTGCCAAATACACATAGCTAATATGATCAGTCAAGGGCCAGTTTCAGGAAGTCAAAGTGAAACTTGAAGAAGAGCCTATAGTAAAACTGCTGTCCTAGATAAAAAGCTTTTGGTTCATACCTTCTAGGTTCTGATTGCCCACACTGCATAAACACCACTTTGCTCCCCAGCAAACCAACTATTTCTGTTTTGAGCTGAAACCAGACTGTGATGCTGTGTTGCACTCCAGGGAAGGTGTGTGATAGGCAGTGTGAACAGGACCAAGCCACATTTGGTGCCCTCCAAGGTCCTTCTAGAGTTGTCCTTCTAGACAGCAGGTCTGTCCTTGGCAGTTTCAGCTTTATCCTAAAGCTTGCTTGTGGTAGCAGGCTTGAGAGGAATATGAACCGAGATATGCTGCGGTCCAGGCTACTGTAGCTACGTGGTTTTCTGTCCTAAACTAGAGCTTTAAAGCAAGAATCTGCTTATCACAGTGCAGTGCAGATGAGCTGGAATTATTTCATTGCTTTCTTTTCCATCTGAGCTCTGCTAAAACTGCTGTTCTTGTGTTTCCTTTGTGGACACAGGCTGCAAACATCTTTTTAACATTAAATATACATCTCATTGAAATGCATTTGATTATAATTCTTGCTGATTACTTTATTATAAGATGTATTTTATTTCTATAGGGTTCCATAAACATCAGTGGTCTTTTAGTCAGGATCTACACTGTGATAATAAAGACATGATCACCTCAGCAAGGTTGTACTGGAATACAAGACTTCTATGACAAACAGTAAAGAGGTGTATAGTAGGATGCATCCTGTGTGGATGTCAGGAAACAAAAACTTGTTAACTGTCTTTTAAAATAAATTTACATGCCTGTAATGAAAGAACAAAAAAGAATTTGCATTCCTAATGTATTCTGGTATTGTCATTGATTTAGGCAGGACTAAGGACACTTCATGATATTGGCCCCGAAATACGCCGAGCTATATCCTGTGACTTGCAAGATGATGAACCAGAGGAAAACAATCCAGAGGTGGAGGAAGATGTTTATAAAGTAATGTCAGAATACAACTGCATGAATTGTTTTATCATGTAATATGAGTTTAAAGAATGAGCTTAGCCCTGGATATGGAAGAAGAACAATAATAATTAAAAGCCCTGTTAAACCAGAAAAATAGAAATATTTTCTAAATAAGTATATTTTATATATATCTATAAAAATGGTATTACCAGGGCACTTACATCTCATAATAAATTTAGAAAGCAGTTCCTGTGGGGTCATTCTTCTGCCCCTAATTGTTTCTCATGAATTCTTAGGTTTTTCTTAAGCAAATCCTATGAAAAGGTATGAACCTTGCCATCCCAAATTTTCATAGTGTCAAGGTAAAACTGGAAGTGTCTTAGCTTCTGCTGTGGTAGATATGGAGAAGAAAATGAAATTCTATGCAGCTACACCACAAGAGACACGGAGCTGCGTATTTTAAAATGAGTACCTGAAATTATGCAGAATTCAACTAAATATAAATGCCATTTCTGATTTCCTATGAGAGATATCAATAAGAACCAATCAGAAAAGAAAATTACTATTCCTCTTTTATGCATTATTCAGTCTAATGGTGAACTCATACAGTTGATATTATAATCAGGAATGATCTGTAAACCATTTGTCAGCCAGCAAGAATACTTAATTTTTCACAAGCATTTCAGAGGAAGGAGATGTAAAAGCACGCTTCTGCAGTAACTGTATCAGAAGCCCCATACCTTGCTATGGTCCTTTGCAAAAAAAGGAGGATGTGGCACTGGAGGCAGTACCACAGCTATCATCAGTAGATGCATTTCTCTGCCAATCATCATTACCTCCTGTCTTCCGTAGATTGAGCTTCAAGACAGACTGCTGTCATCCAAGACCCACACCTGGCTAGACAGGGAGGCTACATAATCTGGGTCAGATGTACGAGAGAGCTGCATGTCATAGTCATAACTTAGCACTTCATTCTCTATTTCACCACCCATTACACTCTCCAAGGCCAATAAAGAGTTACTACTCTTTCTTGTACCTCTGCAAGAAGAAAGAATGGAAGCACTGAAGCATAATGTTACTACTTGAGATATGCTTGCAAGCTGTTGCATGGCACTCCATCCTGTCTGAGTGACGCCTGTTGCGAACTGACGCTCTGAGACAATAGGAGAGAAATCCACCAAAGTGTTCTCAAAAATGAAGCAGACACATCCCTTTCTGAGGAAGTCAGTGCATGTTCATGTACAGGAATCTAGGTTTCTCCTGCATAGTAAAATGTGGAGAAAGCTGGATGTCATATTTAGTTGTATGGAAAAAGAGTAAGGATCACAGCCTAATGCTGATTTGACTCTGCAGTACAAATGTTGTCATTATCACAGTCACATCTCTGTCACTTCAGGAGATCCCATCTGAAGCATCGTAAAACTAGAAAGAAAAATCACAGATTATTTGAATTGCTACTTTTGAATGCATGTAGGAGAGAAAAAGTAAGGTATCACTGTCAAAAATATGTTGTTAAGGTATCTGATTTTTTTCTTTCTCTTCCCCTAAAACAGAGGAATGGTGCCCTCTTTGGCAACCACATAAACCATATTAGCAGTGACAGACGAGATTCATTTCAGCAGATCAACACCACACACCGTCCCTTACATGTTCAGCAGCCTTCAATTCCATCTGCAAGTGATACTGAGAAAAATATATATCCTCAGGCACGAAATTCTGTATACCACAATCATCATAATCACAACTCAGTAGGAAAGCAAGTTCCAAAGTCAACAAATGCCAATCTCAATAATGCCAACATGTCCAAAGTTTTTCATGGAAAACACACAAATTTTGGAAATCGTGAGCATAGATCTGAAAACGGTTACCATTCATACTCCAGAACTGATCATGAGAAGCGTAGAAGGCCAAGCAGTAAGAGGTAAACTTACAAATATGTCTTTTCTTTTAAATAAATTTATATATTATAAATACACTATGAGAAAACTTATTGCTACATGAAACTGATTTGTATCTTTAGCTTCATTTCTGTTGCCTGCTGATGTATGAAACATTTAGAATATAGCTTTGATGTATGGGAAATGTATATAACTTTACTAAGCTTTGAAAGTAGTAGTTTTCTTTAAAGTGAAATTACTAGTTACAGCAGAGACACTGTAATCACCAATGGATTTCTCTAAACTACCTGATTTTAAAACAGCTTTCTCCTTCCTTTCATGGCTTACCTGGATAGAACCCGCTACTATGAAACATATATTAGGTGAGTTGATATTGTTCTGACATAATTGAGGAAGACAAAGTAGGTTGTTGGGTTTTTTTATTCTTTTTTTTCTTCTTTTTTTCTTCTTTTTTTTCTTCTTTTTTTTTTCATCTTTTTTCATCTTTCTTCTACAGTACAATTTTGAAAAATAACTGCGTGAAAATGCATATGCTGAATAACTTAAGCGATGATTTCTAAGTCAAATTTTCCACTGCCTGTTCTAAAATGATAAACTTTTGGTAAAGTTCAAAATTATTCAAGCCCTTTTAAAAGTTCAGACAGGTTTGTGTAGTTTTCAGCAGACAAAAGATGGTAGTCATTGCTTAAAACGGACTCGCAAAGACTGGAAAAAACACTGGCTTTAGCTTTGATAAATATTAGTGGGTACAGTCCCATTCATAGGAGGCTCAAAATCTTTCCTGGTCTTATGTCTGAATATTTTCTAAGACAAATTTTTTTAAAAGGATTTATTGTGTTATGAAGTGTATTGTTCAATGTACATTCAGTGCTAGTTTTTAGTGTCTAGATTTGCGCATCAGTTTCAGATTTTTCTTGGAAAAAGAAACTCACTCAGTGAGTGCTCCTTAATATTTTGGCTGTTTGGCAAACTTCAGATTATTGAGGGAGACTGTGTTTCTTCAAAGTACTCTGAATTTATATTTTTATTATTTTTTATTTATATTTTGTAAAAATGTCTTAAATGTATTTGACTTTACTGAGCAGCTCCATAGTAATTATTTTCCTATTTGTACCATAAGGAAATTAAGGGAGGTCATCTTTAAGAAACAGATTAAATAGTCATATACTAAACTGCAGTTCTATGCAATTTAACGTAGCACCACATTCTGACAATGAGAACTGTTAATGCTTGTCCTTTTTTTTTCTTAGAAGCACATTAAAAGAACTGTGTATAAAATAAAATATACAATATATAATTTATATAAATATTAAAAATGTAAGTATTTATTTGTTACTGACAGATCTGACTCTGGTGATGGGCGTCGACCTACTATTTGTCGTGACGAACGTGAAGTTCAAGACTTTTGCAATGATGATCGTTATTTGGGAGAGCAGGAATATTATAGTGGAGAAGAATATTACGAGGAAGACAGTATGCTGTCAGGAAGCAGGTGAGAATATTTGTTAAACTGGGAAAAATATTTCAATAAATTAGATACATATCAGTAAAGGCTTCAGTAAGCACAACTGCTGGCAAGTGAAACGGTGAGTAGGAATTGTGTGTGTACCAAAGGTCTTTCGTATTTGGCATCATGTGCTGACTCTAGCAAAAATTCTGTACCAAATGCAAAGGAAAGCACAAAGTTTCTTTGAACTGAGTATAAACTAGGTAGTGCATAACCAAAGAAGCGTTTCATTTATAAGTAAAATTTCATGTACAATGAAAGGTGGATCAAGCTCATACAGAGTAACTTTAAGAAATGTTTTTTTCTTTTAAATGAACATAAAAAGAAAGGTGAAACTGGTAAAGTATGGACTGAGATAATGCAGTAGTACTGGCTGGGCAACTTCCTTTTGAAAATTTTCATTATACCTCTTTATTAGTAATCTTCCTCTTGTCTCCTCAGTAAATTTTTTGTCTCCTCAGTACAAACACTAAACACTGTCATAGTTTCCTTGGCCTTTATATGTTTAGAATAGATTTTTCTAAAGATTTATGCATAAGCTTTATGGAATCGTCATCAGTTGAATTTTAGCCAACAACTAACATGTCTTACAAATTTGTATTACTGCATAATGTCCAAATCTGTATTAATCCAAGGCTCCTTGCTGTAATTGCAGAGTTCTAGTTTTGTAACCTGGTTCCTTTCGGTTTTCTGATTAATTTCCATTTTCTCCAGACAACACTTGGAATAGCATCCCAGTTAATTATCGTATTTCTGTCCACTGGGGTTTTTTAACAACTCTTGCCTGATCCAGTGTATTTAACTCCCGTGATCTTTGCATTCAGTACCTTAATTTCAGATTTAAGAAGACTTTGATTTAATTTGGGTAAATTTAAGCTTTTCTCTGCAACTGTATTTCACACAGTTTCATCAGAAATGGACTGGAGTGGGTTTCTCTAACTTTAGGACAGTGGGTCCCAAGTTAGTTCAGCTTTGAGCGTTACCATATTAGCTTGTGCTTCAGATAGCAATGACTTCAGCAACAGGACAGGTCCTCACTTTGCATTGGGACCCCTTTGTACATATGTAATAGGTTTCCAGTTGTTCAAGAAATGATTGGGTACTGCCCTGGGAGGAAGTCCTGCTATTCCTGATCTAGTCTTTAAAATGTGAAACCATTCCAGTGTTTTCTGAGTATCAACCTGTCATAGAACAGAATTTGGTATTAATTTCTGCTGAATTAATTCAGTGACTTCTCAAAAATATCCTCCACTCCTGCCAATAAGTTTTTATTTCGAAGTCCAGCCTAGAAGTAGAGGAGTTTATTGTCATTTTATCTTAGATCCATAAGTGCATATGCACAAGTGCCAGACATGCTTAATTCTCCTCCTCCTCCTCTACTGTCTGCCTTTGCCATCTGAATTCTGGCAAGATTGGCACCCTAATCTGCATCTTGTTGTTTTGCACAGAAGCTAAGATATGCATGACAGCTAAATTTTACCAAATTTTTTAAATTATAGTCCAATAAAACCCTTCCAAGATTTGATTTTCAACAGAAGAAATATTCAAAATGTAAAAGGCTTAATTCCATTCTCTGAGTTTCTGTGCTCCCAGACTTTACCCAGAGAGAGCATGACAGGAGTAGAACAGAGCATGTATATGTTTGGTTTGCTTTTTTTAAGAAATGTACAACTGAAGTCCTACATTTTAGCCTGCACAGGTAAGAATAACTTCATTGAAAATATAATTTGATAAAAGTTTCACATCAGAACTTACTATGTAACTATACTACCACAAAAATACATGGTTGCTATCTTCAACATCAGTTTGCATAAAGAAACTAGATTTTTAAATTGAGTTGTGTAACTGTATAGTGTAATTTTTGGTTATCTTGCTGGAGAAAGAGATTATTTGAAAACCTGCTAGAAGAAATCTAACAGATCAATTTACAGAAACTGACTGAAATAGCTTTTTCATTATTGTATTTTAAACACAGGCATATATATGATTACCACTGTAGATATCACTGCCATGACTCAGATTTTGAGAGACCAAAAGGGTACCATCATCCACATGGGTTTTTTGAGGAAGATGATTCACAGATCTGTTACGATACAAAAAGATCTCCTAGGAGACGGCTGCTACCTCCAACACCAACACGTAAGTACATTAAGAACAATTTGTTTGCAAATCCTTAATTATTTAAATGCATTCAGATGCGTTCCTGTTTAGAAAGGCTTCTCTTTAACTTGGATTTCAGACATGACATTTCTTGATTACTGTTGCTAGAGGATTATTATGTATGGCAGAAATATCTAACCATCCTGAGAGACTACTCAGAGAACCTATGGATCCTAGCTTACAAGTCAGTCTTTGTAGTATCTCTTGCCTCACTCATCCAGTAATATAAAATAACAAATTTAATTTGTTTAAAGCCAGTTTTAGCTTGATTTGATAAATTAAGAAAGAGCAAGGTAGAATGCAGCAGTAATTTGCTTTGGAATTTTGATCAGGTTTCAATGCACGTGCCAGTTATTTACACCTACAGGTGTGCAATGTTGCAATGAGTCAGTGCCATCATGTCTGCAGTGACTCACCTGCTGACACCTTCCCTGACTCTTAACAGTCTTGCTGCTTAATGACACTGCACTCAGTTCCATTTTCATCTTCACCTCATACTGTTTTTAGTAAACACTAGAGACTAGAGTGGGATAATTTTCAGGGAAAAGAGAACCAAGAGTGAGCTTAATGGTGCTTTGGTTTGGGCATTTTTTTTCTTGCTTTCAAAGTGCCTTTTTCTTGCTAATGTGAGTTTCTCAAGTCCTTGTGAAAAATAAAAGAGCTATCCTGAGCTAAGCAGCTTATTTCAGATTCATATTGATACTTTAGTGTGCCATCTCAGGAACAATGTTTAATAGTCTATGTTTCTTCTACGGGAGAAAATGTTTCAATTTATAGATTGAATTAGTGTTGTCAAATGATTTTTTTGCCTGTTTGTTTAATTTTCATTTATTCTCCTCCTTAGATCTTTCCCTTGGTTTCTTTTTATCTCAAGCACCATATTGCTTTATCTCCATTTCTTAAAGCTCTCATGCTTATTACACTGTAATTTTGTTTTTGTATGTTGCAGGCCATGCTGCAAAGATTAGCAGTGCTAATCCTCTGGTGAAACTAGGCACAGACTTCAAGTTCTTGGATTTTGGGCTTTGACCTCTGACACTTCACAGATAGGAAGCGTTTGGGGTTGTGAAATGTAAAATAAAACTTTTTCTAAGGCCTTTTCTTGTTGGTGCACATGAAACAACACTTGGCTCCACACAACCCCATAGCATCCCCAAGACTACTCTACCGTGTAGCGTGGTCGGCACAGCCAGGTCTGTTAGCTGTGTCTCTGGACAATGCCATCTAACCAGTGCCATCCAGACAAGGCAATACAGGCACATTTTTAGAAGAGTCTCCATGTTTTGCCTGTTATAAGATGGATTGGTTTTCTAGCGAAACCAGAGGTGTGTCTCATTCTGATGATGCTAGCAGCCAGTCAGTCCATTTATCTGTGGAAGTATGACTGCAAGGATCCCATGAGTAGGGAAAGGGGTTTCAGTCCTTTCCTGTCTTGGGCACCCTAAAGAAAATGCAGGTATAGATTTACAAAGTAAAAGTGTTTCAGAGACAACAACTGAGGTACAGTGTCAAACTGTTTAAAGCTGCAGAAAGCAGTGGTAAAGGGCAGCAGCAAAATATATTCTTATTTAATAAAGGAAACATTCTTCAACAATACCTTCAGTGCTGGATCCTCACTTATGGCATTCAGCTCCTTATGACAAGATGAGTAATGCTCTCTGCTGTTTGGCTTTCTAACATTATGGGCACAGATGGAAAAAGCAGAAAGACTGAGTCTTGCACTATAGAGAGTAAGTAACTCAACTCAGATGAGTGACAGTGAACTGTACAGAAAGGTGCTAGCTCTTCCAGGAGCAGAAAGAAAAGATATCCAACAAAGGGGAGACTGCAGAAGGAGACTCCTATAAATCTTTCTACAAGTTTTTCTGATAGCAGAGGAATTTTAAACCAAAGAATAAGATGGATGCTTTGTATATCCATTCCATACATTGCAGAACAACCTTCTTGAAAAATCCCCTGGGGTGTTCCCATGGAAGTGTTGCAAAGGGAGGGTTGAAAGCTTCCTGTGACTGCAGCCTTTGGGATTCATTTAGCTTTTCTGATAAAATTCTGATGACAGTATTAAGCAGGGATTTCTTCAGAGGAAGCTTACACTTTTTGTCTCGCATACAAGAGACTAAATAAATGTGGTAGATAAGATGGTATTTTATATCCTAGGATTAGAGGACATAGTTGTGACCTAAGTTATGTAGTGGTAATGTAGGAAGTCCTTTGACTTAAACCAGTATAATGTCACAAGAGCACAGTCAGGCCGCCAGTCATAACCATTCCTTTATTGTTCAAGAACACGGTTGAGAAATTGTAGAGGCTTGGTATCTCAGCAGATTTTAAAAGAAGCTCAAATCTATTATTAGTAACCACTGTATGGGCTGTTTGGCCTGGAGAGGAGGCCTTGATGTTCTCATGTAAAGAAAGAAAAGATAAAAACAAAAACAAAGAAAGAACTTGCAGCGTTGCACTAAACAGTTTCTGCTAGCATCTAGATTCAGTCCAAGTCAGTGTAACATACAGTGCCTTGGCTGAGTACTGTAGTCATTAAATGGAGCTCTGTGTCAAGCTTTCTAGAGGTTTTTGTACCAAACTCATCACCACAGTATTTGAGCAACTTTGAGAAGTGTACTGATAAATGATTAAGCTGTTCTTTCAGACTCTTTCCTGGGGAGAAGCATGTGTAAAGAAGTGTCTTGTTTTGGATGAGTGGACTTTCTGGTTTGCTTTTTATTCATTTTTGGTATGGGGACATTTAACATTTGTTAAGATCAGGAGCTAAGGTTTACATTCTCTATTTGGATTTACCATAGAGACAATGGAAAGAGATGCATAGTTTGCATATAGTGCTTTGAATCACCTCCTGGAGGTGCCCGTTTTAGTCAATGGCTCTTTAAGGAACCTTGATTGTTAGCATCCAGCGTTAAGTGTCTGATGATAACTATAAGGAATCACAAGTCACTACACTGTCTCCCATTTTTTTCACAAAATTCCTGGTGTTAGGAGAAAAGATACCAAGAACAGTTTCAGTAAGTTTCAAGAGAGCACAATTTTGTATCATTGCTTTGTACAGTCAGGCTTTTCCCAGTTTTCCACTATGATGCTCACAGCTGTGAGGACATACCTGGATTCCAGCTGCTGTTCACCATCCAGGCATTCTTCACACTGAAGCTAACACAAAGAATGATAGCCATGAGCTGCTTCCCATTGTTCTGCAGACTTTCACGAAGACCAGCTGAAACATTTCCACATGAGCCAAACATCTTGATCCAATTTAGATTTTTTTCCTTTCTAGCATTTACATGAATAACAGCAGAGACCATGGTTTCTCATTGTCATAAGTAACAGAATACATCAGGAATTGACAACATGAGTTAACTTTGACTTGGATATAGTTTTTCATATTGCACATTGCTTCCAATGAACTGGAGATTTGGTATTTCCTTTGGGAAGTCTGATTAATTAGAAAGAAGAGTTTAAAACCATTGGGAAGAAAGAAGAAACTCCTCCTTGTAACTGTTCACAGCAGCTGACAGCAAAACTCTGAAGTTAAGTGGATGAACCAGTCTGCTGCATAACACAAGCTAGCTTGTGAAACAGCAGCTTCAGATTCTGCCATATTAGGCTGCTCATATGGTTTCTACCTAGGACTGCATTTGCTGTTATGATTAATCTATCCTTTATCTCATAACCAGCTGCTTGCTTCTGTTGGCACAACTTATTTCTTACTGAGGATGTTTTTATTTGTGTGATAGTTGACTTACACTGGATTTCTGGAAATAATAGACTTTGAGGAAAAGTAGCATATCTTCCTAATGAATTATGGTTTCTCTGTAGCAAACAGACGATCTTCCTTTAACTTCGAATGCCTCCGCCGACAAAGTAGTCAAGATGACATACCCCTCTCTCCTAATTTCCACCATCGCACTGCTTTACCACTTCACTTAATGCAACAGCAGGTAAACAAAATCTTATTAAACTAATAATGAATTACGTCTCTCCAGCTTCTATATTGTGCTTCTCACTTAAGTTGCAATTTGAAACAGTACTAGTGCACTTGCCTGTGTGTGACTCCTCTGCCAGGTGTAAGCTTGTAGTTGCTAGACACAAGGCTTCTCAAACATTGGCCTGCTACAAAACACTGAAAATTAGTAGTTTGCCCCTATGACTCTTCAAATATCTGCAAAAGTAAGGATGTTTAAGGAATTCTGATCAGGACTGCATACTGTGGCAACTGTCTCTTAAGCTTTGCCTATGCAGTTATTCAGCTCCATTTGTGAGTTTCCAGGTGCAACACACATCCAAGGCTCAGTACTCAGTGGCCCTGGGAAGATGGCAGTTTGCATTGCCTAGAGACACTATCCAGAATGCTTGAAAAATGCTGACAGAGTCCTATCCTGTCCCTACAGTACAGAAGGAACGTTTCTACACTTTGCTTTCTTTGTTTAATTTATTGTATAAGCCATTATTTTTCTTTATTAATGCTAATACCTTATCTGAGTAATCATGGAAAAAACACAATTTTTGTTCCTTCTTTACGTGACTATTAAACATCAGAAAAGGTTGACTTTGTATAGCTGCTGCCTGAACACTTGGCTTGAACTAACTGCTGAAATCTGTGGTGGAGCATTTGAAATCACTAACTCCTAACATTCTTCCCCTTACTAGGTCATGGCTGTTGCAGGTCTGGATTCCAGCAAAGCTCACAAACATTCACCGAGTCGTTCAACACGTTCTTGGGCTACCCCACCTGCAACCCCTCCCAACAGGGACCGCACTCCATATTACACACCTCTAATCCAGGTTGATAGGGCTGAATCTACAGAGCATATGAATGGCAGCCTTCCTTCCTTGCATAGGAGCTCCTGGTACACAGATGACCCTGATATTTCCTACCGAACATTTACACCAGCCAACTTGACTGTACCTAATGACTTTAGGCATAAACATAGTGACAAACAGAGGAGTGCCGACAGCTTGGTAGAAGCAGTAAGTATTACAGAAACCTCTGACGGAGCCAAGAGTGTCTGTCTGTCAGTTTTTGTGTTAACTTTAAAAAGCATATAATTCAGGTCACATTATCTCTCTGAAAATGTGGTATTGTAAGTCTCAAAACCCAAAACTGCTTTTAGGTAAAGACAGGGGAACTTATTTGTAGTTGTCATGTAGTAAACAATTTCTACTGAATCCAAACCTTAACAGTGTGTCAGAGAACTGGGGAGACTTCAAAGAGATCTGATATTTAAGTTTCTTAGATAAGGATAAGTTATGAAGTGTCCTTCCACAAAGGCTGTTAGGTCAGAGATGATGCATGTGCCTGTTCTCTTTGTTGTTTCTATAGAATTACAGCACCGTTTTTGCTGAATAAAAGATCAGCAGCTGCATAAATCATTGTCCTAAATGCAGAGGTGTGAATAACTACTACAAGGATTGATTTGAAGGTGTACTAAGAATTATATTAAAATAGGTTTGGAGATAAAGAGTATGTTGTATTTCTGAATGATAGTTACTGGTCGCTTCTAACACTTCCTTTCCATTGCTGTGAGCTAAACAATACATTTTGATAAATTTTATTTGCAAATGGGACTTCAGCATCTTTCTTCCGTGTATTCTAAAGTACCAAGAATGTATCTAGAATTCTGTGTTTCAGACAATTGTTCTGATTGCACCATCTGAGATATATTAACTGTTTTCTTTAGCGTATCAGCATGATGTTTTGTGTTTATCAAAAACTAAACCAAATCTAAAGAGACAATCAGATGTATTGCATTATCAGATAGTGTGGTTTGGAGCAATTTGATTGTTCTTTACACATAGAGTTTTGCTGTGGGTTGCTGTAGTGATTCAGCGTGGGGTTTCTAGTATTTTACACAAATGAGAAACGTTGTCATGACCTGCCTGTTCTTCTGTAATTCCACTGTATATCTCATTCTCTCCCCTCCATCTGCAGGTACTTATATCTGAAGGCCTAGGAAGGTATGCAAAGGACCCTAAATTTGTTTCAGCTACAAAACATGAGATTGCTGATGCATGTGACATGACTATTGATGAGATGGAAAGTGCAGCAAGTAATCTTCTCAATGGAAATATCAGCAATGGGACCAATGGGGATATGTTTCCCATTTTAAGCAGACAAGATTATGAACTTCAAGATTTTGGTCCTGGCTACAGTGATGAAGAACCAGAAACAGGACGATATGAAGAAGACTTAGCTGATGAAATGATATGCATTACAAGTTTATAGTATTTAGCAAGGAAAAATATTCTAATAACAGAAAAAGTGCCTCATAGTTTAAAGATGCTAGGCACTAGCTGGAGTGAATAACCAATCAAGTTTTGTACAAGTGATGTCACACCTCAAGGAAGCCATAACTAGTAAGTTGATTGTCTCCAGGTTGCCAGAATGTGATCAGAGCTGCAGTACATCAAGTCTCTTCCCACAGAATCTTCAGTTCCTCTCTGGGAATAAGGTTATTTTGAATCTAAGCAGATTGTGACAATCAGTTTTTTGAGGGCTAGAGCGAGGTTCTGAGGTGTAACATCTTGCCTGTCTTTCAACCTTGTGCTGCTGTCCATAGTAGAGCAGAATTTTGTCAATGAAAATGTCTGTATAGATCAGCACAAAATTGCGTGGGAAATAGCAACATGAGACCAGTGATGACAACCAGTAATGTCATTACCTCAGTACTCAGTAGCATATCAGCTACCCGTTGCATATCCATTCTAACATTGTTTTAAAACTTGCCTCCCGATTTCTTTTCTTAATGCTCTTCTAAAACACAGTTTGTCATGCTCTACGTGTTAGAGACCATTGGAAAAAGAAGTTATATAAAGAATAATCTGTCATATGTAACACCAGTTTACATAGGAAAATATCATTCAGATAGTCTGTTTTATGACTATCACATTAAGGGCAAAATATACTGGAATAATTGCATTCTTACTAATGCATTTGCAACCAGGTTATAGTAGAATTAGATAAGATAGTTTGCTAAAAATTATATAGTAGAAATTACTGTAAATGAATTGTAATATACAATGATTTGTATTTGTAAAGAGATGTTCTATATTTTGTAATTATTGTACCGTAATTGAACTGCAGCAATATTTATGGACCCTAATTATTGTAACTCTCCACAGAATTCTAGATAGAAGTATTTTTACTTGGAATATATAGATCTATAGCATAAATATTTAAATAGAGCCACCTCTCCGTGTAAATCTCTTTTTGGGATAAAGTGTCAAGTTTCAAGTTGGCAACAGAACAGATTTTTTAAACAATTGAGTCAAATGAATCTCTCTGCATAAGGGATGCACAGTTGACTATTTACAGTCTTACACTGGAAAGGTAAAACATTTGAAGTTATTTTAACTTTTTTGGATTGAAAAATAGCTCTAATTTTATTTTTTTATTTATCCTGTGCTAAAAATAAATATTAAAATCACTAAGAAATTGGCAGGTTCATACCAGAGTATTACTGGTCATGAGACAAAGTATTGTTTTGACAAAGTATATTACATACCTACCCTACTTTGATAGGAAGCATCTTGGGCAGAAAATACTTCACAGGTAAATAAAAATGCTTTACTTCAGTACTATTTACTCTGCTTGGAAAGAAAAGAGGTAAGATAAAATGATTCTTCACAGAACCAAAAACCTTGATATAAGAAGTATACTATTTTGTTGCCTCTACCTATCTGTTGTTCTAGGTGTACTGTTTCAAAGATTTCTTTTTATGCAATCAAGAGAGGGCTTAGATATTGTTCACAATGCAGTAAAACCCTGAAATGACTTTGAGGCTAATAAAACCTTGCAGGAAAATCAAAAAACACTGAAAGCTGCTGTTAGCACTGGATAACAATGACTTGTTCTAACAAGTTTTCTTATCAGGTTTTACCTGATACCTTCACATGTTAGATAGCAATCCAGTTCACATTTTTACAAATGTGATGTTTAAAACATGTCAATAAACATTTTGTACATAATGACAGTTTCCTATGAATAGCTTACAGACTTCCTCTGAAATCATTCTTATTTCAAATGCCAGGATAAGAACTTCAAGGTTTGTAAATTATTTCTTGACCTACATCATTTTGTATTAAAACAAATGCAAAATGTTCTTCAAAATAAAACTGTGTAATAATTTTATTTTACTTGTGACTCCTTTTGCTAATAGTTTTTCATCAAGAAGCTCCAGAAGTTAAATTTTGTTTGCACTGTTTGAAGAATGGGAAGGAATGCATGTAATACATCAGTCTACACTAGCATAGAGTGCAAGTCTTTTATGAATGATTGCTGTTAACCGGAAAGTATTTGTATGAAAAAGGGTACTATTACTGCTCGACTATCTAGGGAATTATTGCTTCCCTAGATACAGAACTATGGAAACTATTAGGAAAAGTCTGACTAAAATCCCCTAATGTCAAAACAAATCTTTCATGCTGCCTGCCAGGGAACACTTCCGTAGGTCACCCAGAAGTACTCGCTTTCGTACACTTTCCCAGCTTACTGAAATGAACTTTAGGAGACCACAAGGGAGCTTTCTGGATCTGGTACCACTGGGACATAAAAATTAGTAGTTTTCAGCTGTACCACCTTCTCTGGTGTATTGGGTTTTCTGTGAGGGGTTTTTGGTTGTGTCTTTGGTAACGAGGGAAGGGCTGTGGAGATGGCCCTTTAAGGAGCTACCTAAAAAGCTCCCCCTTTTCCTTTGTCAGCCCCACCTCTGACCAGGGCCAAGCCAATCAGTGCCCCTGCGAATTCATTTATTTAAGGGGGTGCAGGGCATGCCACTTTCTCTCTGGCACCGGCCCTGACCAACATGGC